GTCAGACAGACTCTCTGACTGTCTGTGTCTTCACTCTGCCCCCCTCCTCCCCCGCCCCCTCCTTCAAACAGGGCTTGTTGCAGAAGGAACACCATGACCTTTGCCCTGATCTGAAGACTAGAGCAGTGTAGAACCTGAGTCAGCTGACCTTGGCCTGACCTCACACACACACACACACACACACACACACACCGTGGTTGTTACGTTGGTGACAGAACTGTTTGCTGGTTCATCTGCCCCCGGTGGCTCAGCACATTTAGCTGCTAGCGCTCACATTAGCATCTCTTTAAATATAGCTGGAAGTGTCTGTGCTGCGTTCACTGACAGTCGTCACCGTTAGCTCTGAGCCTCTGTTTCATTTGTCTCCTCCTTTAATCGTCTGCCCTCCCTTCCAGATGTTTCCGTTCCACATCAACGACTCCTAAATGAGACTCGTGTGTGTGTGTGTCAGTGTGTGTGTGTGTGTGTGTGTGTTTGTGTGTTTGCTCCAGGTCCCACCCCGGTGGTTCTGCGGTGCGTCTCATTGCAGGTATTTTAGCGTCCCTGCAGAGAGCTGCTGGGGCGGGGTCCCTCCTGTGTACAAATCAGAAAGAAAACAAACACCAGGACGTCAGGCTGTGACATCTGTGAGTCCAGAAGGTTCTGCTGGAGGAGGAGGAGGAGGAGGAGGAGGAGGAGGAGGAGGAGGAGCAGGTCTTAGTCTGACGTGTTTTAGCCGCTAACCCGTAGAAAACGCAGCCGGAGCTGAAGGGTTTGAAACCTGCACAGGTGTGTGCAGTGGACGACGACACCGTCTTTTTTTCCGTCCTCTCAGATGAATGTTCTTAATTAATGAGCGTCAGAATCATCAGCAGCAGCAGCAGCTGTCAGTACTGATCCACCACAGACCGCCGACACGTCCAGATGTCGTCCTGTTGGTGAATCCAGTCGTTACAGTGAAATATTATTGATCTTTAAATCCAGGAGTCGTTCAAAGGCCAGTGAACCAATAGGAGGAGGTCATGTGACAGGGCAGCTGCTGTCATCAGTGGACAGTCAAATCCAGACGTCCAGGACGGGGTCAGAGTGGAGTCCGGCCTGCGGTCCAGATCCTCAGGCGTCGGTGGTTTTCTGGAAAATAATCTGAACAAAAAACGCCACACACAGTTTTCAGACTCTGTGTCGAGTGTGTGTTTCCTCCTTGTACCCCCCCCCCACATGGTCTTTGGCCCCGCCCTCACTCCTCAGTCGTCCAATCAATACCAAAACAAGAGGCAACAAAAAGTCAGGCAGTGTCCAGTGGGACAGGAAACTGACCAAAAGTCACAGACGCTGGACGTGAGAAGTTTGTAAGAATCAATGGACGAGTCGGACTGGGGGAGGAGGGTCTGGAGGTTAAAGGTCAGAGAGAAACTCTGACCTTTAACTGACCTGACGGGTTCATCCAGAACTTTCTACAGGTGATGTTGGCTTCATGTATCGACCTGTGAGACTGAAGACAGAAACAGAACCGAGTCACTCCTGCTCAGAGTCACGTGTTGGACGAAACAACAGTCGGACGAAACAACAGTCGGACGAAACAACAGTCGAATGAAACAACAGTCAGGACGAAACAACAGTCAGGACAAAACAACAGTCGGGACGAAACAACAGTCAGGACGAAACAACAGTCAGGACAAACAACAGTCGGACGAAACCTTCACACTGTTCAGCAGAATTGAATCTAAACCCAGGATTAGGGCCACATAGGGAATCACCTGTTGCTCCACCAGCTGGAGGTGGCGCTGTGGCATCGTTTTAAAAAAATGTAAAAAAAAATAATGCCACACAAAAACTGAATACACCTGTAGTTATACGGGGGAGGTCAAGGGTTCGATGCCAGACCATAATATTGAACTCTACAGAAGAGTGGAGCAGACGGAAGGATTGATAACAGAGGGAAACAACAGTCGAATGAAACAACAGTCGGACGAAACAACCTTCACACTGTTCAGCAGAATTGAATCTAAACCCAGGATTAAAAAAATGTAAAAAAAAATAATGCCACACAAAAACTGAATACACCTGTAGTTATACGGGGGAGGTCAAGGGTTCGATGCCAGACCATAATATTGAACTCCACAGAAGAGTGGAGCAGACGGAAGGATTGATAACAGAGGAAAGGGGGGGTGAGGGTGGGGGTGTGGAGGAGAGGTCGTTGATGTTCATCTGCAGACCGACGCTGGGCAGCGACTTGATCGACGCTCCTTAAGGAGATGAGATGCACGGGCACACGCTGAACACAGGCAGGATGTTGGATGAGGTGTCGAGAGCTCGGATAAGTAGGTTAGCATTGGTTGTTGTAATGATGCTGCCAGTCATACAGCTGCTGCCTCGCCACACACACACACACACTATCTCTGTGTGTGTGTGTGTGTGCATTCATATTCTGAATCTAAGTTTAATTCCGTCCGGGGACGCCGCGCTCGCTGCAGTGTTCAGGAGCAGAGACATTTTATAGTGATTTATTTTCAGACTCGTGTCAGAAAACACGTGAGGCTCCTCGTCTGCTCGTCTCCCCGTTCTCTCGTCTCCTCGTCTCCTTGTCTCCTCGTCTCCTCGTCTCTCATCTCCTCGTTGGAGATGATGTTGAAGATGGGAAACAAAACAGAGAGAAAATCTAGAGGATCCATCCTCCAGGGGGCACTGCTCCTCCAGGGGGCACTGCTGTGTGTGTTCACGGCCGTTCAACTAATATTTTAACGACTTCTCTGACCCCGCCCCCACTTCTCTGTCATTTTTCACTTTTATGATCAACATCTAATTATTTCAGCGTAGGTCTGGGAGTTTCCCTCCTGACTGAGGCCTTATCTTATCTCACCCCCCCTCCTCACCCCTCACCCCCGACCCCCCC